GGGGGGAGCTCTGCAACTTACCTGGCTGCTTCTTGCTCTGACTGAGGGCTGCTGGGAGCAGGGGGTGGGGCTTGTTGCATGTGCCCGCCCCCTGGGCTCTTTACTGCTGGAGCTCTGCTCCTGTGCGCTCCTGCAGGAAATGACCCCTGGGTATGTCTATCCTCAGACTGTGTTCCTGCCCGCCTCCCAACCATCACCGTTAAAGCAGCCCGTCAAGAATTGCTGTCATCCCAGCACAGACCATCGGCCTGGCCATTTTGCACGATGGAACAAAAAGGGGGAAATGCCACGTGATAGATGACTGACTTTGCATGCCAACAGCATGGCTATAGAAATAAACAAGAAAAGCATCTCCGTGCTCCTAATTTCCCACAACTCCCCTGTATCCAGAGTATGTGTGTGCGCACCTGTGCTCTCAGGGAAAAGGTGAATGGCTGCAGGGAATCATTCCCTGTGCTAATCTGCATCTGCTAAGGGAAGGCAAACCATGAGTAATCCTTGCAGCTGCCTGTGAAGTTACTTATTCAGAATCAATATGAGAGCTTCGGCCCCTCCCCGACTCACCGATTTCTAGTCAGGGGCACCCCTCTTCGCTGCTCTTTTCCTCTCCCAGATTTCTTTCTGGCCTCCTTTCCCTCCCAGCATTCCTACAGACCATTCCCTCTTTCAGACCTTCTTTACCGGGCTGTCTGCTTTCTCCTACCCAAATCCCTGAGGCTCCCTCTGTTTTCTCTGCTTGCCTTGCCTCCGTGCAGCTCAGGCAGTTGCAACCTGAGGGCCCTAAAACTCCTCTTCTGTCTTTCCAGTCCTGCTTTCACACATGTTCTTGATCTTGCTACAGTGATCCATGCCACAGTCACCGGAAATAAACAAGAAATGCATCTCCGTGCTCCTTATTTCCCACAACTCCCCTGTATCCAGAGTGTGTGTGCACACACCTGTGCTTTCAGGGAAAAGGTGAATGGCTGCAGGGAATCATTCCCTGTGCTAATCTGCATCTGCTAAGGGAAGGCAAACCATGAGTAATCCTTGCAGCTGCCTGTGAAGTTACTTATTCAGAATCAATATGAGAGCTTCGGCCCCTCCCCGACTCGGATTTCTGGTCAGGGGCACCTCTCTTCGCTGCTCTTTTCCTCTCCCAGATTTCTTTCTGGCCTCCTTTCCCTCCCAGCATTCCTACAGACCATTCCCTCTTTCAGACCTTCTTTACCAGGCTGTCTGCTTTCTCCTACCCAAATCCTTGAGGCTCCCTCTGTTTTCTCTGCTTGCCTTGCCTCCGTGCAGCTCAGGCAGTTGCAACCTGAGGGCCCTAAAACTCCTCTTCTGTCTTTCCAGTCCTGCTTTCACACATGTTCTTGATCTTGCTACAGTGATCCATGCCACAGTCACCTCCGTACTAGACTACTGCAATGCACTCTATGCAGGGCTGCCCCTGAGGAGACGTCAGAAACTTCCAGTGTTCCAGAATTCAGTTGCCAGGCTATTGACTGGCTCAGGTCGGTGTACCCATATACAGCCAATCTTGAGGCAGCTGCACTGGCTGCTAGTTTGTTTCTGGTTTAGGTTCACAGCAATGCTCCCTCTAAGCTGTGGAGTCTTGTGAGCAAAAATTCTGCTTTGTGAGCTACTGGTATTAAAGCTGTGAGTGAGCAATTTGGCTACTGCATAAATTAGTTTGCTCTGGAGCCATCCCTTCCTGAGCTAAGACAAAAATGTGTGAGCCGGAAGCTAAAAAACTGTGAGCTAGCTCACACGAACTCAGCTTAGAGGGAACACCGGTTCACAGTGCTTGTTATTAGAAGAGAAGAGATTGGATGTATATCCCGCAATTCACTCATAGACTCAGAGCGGCTTACAAACTCCTTTCCCTTCCTCTCCCCACAACAGACACCCTGTGAGGTAGGTGGGGCCGAAAGAGCTCTTTCAAGGACAGCTTTGACAGAACTATGGTTTGCCCAGGGTCATCCAGCAGCTGCGAGTGGAGGCGTGGGGAATCAAACCTGGTTCTCCCACATTAAAGTCCGCGTACTTAACTACCACACCAAACTGGCTTTACTTTTAAAGTCCTAAATGGTCTACGACAAGCATATCTGAAGGACCACCTCTCCCGATATAACCCCCCATGCTGCTTGCGCTGATCATTGTCCAGTTTCTTGACAGTGCCTGGTCCT